GACTACGTATAACTATGCAGTAAGGTCACGCAACATCGTGGAAGTATACAAATGTTTTATCGTAAACGTTGAATAAAATTTTTAATGGCAGGGATGTAGCCAGCTTTTTTCAACTTGTAGGCCCATAAAAAGGGGTCTGGGGCCAAAAACATGTTCAGATTAAAAAGATGAAAATAATCAAAACAATAATTTTAAACTTGAATTTGATTAGATGCAAACTGGGGGCGGAAAATTATGCATAAGCCTAAAACGCACTTGATCCGAACACAATACCAATCCTACCCACGCCTGTTTTTATTGTTTTTTGGGGACTTATGAAAATGACAATTTCTTGACCAACTTGACCCGGGCCGACATGGCCTAATAGTAGCTACGCCACTGAATGGTCTATCAAATTAAAATCGTTTAACGCAACTTTTCTCAAGTGCTTCAATTCTAAGTCGAAACATTGATTATTCAATGTGGCAAAAATGGTTTTATGGAAGACACGTGCTAATGCCGTTTTGTAGAAAATGACGCCCGTGCATAATCTTTTAAGTGCCTGATCAATTATCGATCTGTCTTCTTCTTTTCTATGCTTAATGAGGGCCAAGCTCTGAGAGTACGGACCCTGGACATGTCACCAGTCATGCTCTTAAATATTATGTTGACTTATTTTATTTCAGTTCAGTAATTCATTGAATGATACCAAAGAATATGCAATTATTTTCATATTTTAATTGGGATAACGCACGGGAGGCAAATAAGACAATTATATGCATTATGCGGTAAGTGTGTAAGCATGTGATTGTGGTAGACTTAAGTTATTGGCTAGCCTCCTCTCACAAAAACAATATAAAAAAGAACAAAAAAATATTATAAATATAAAATAATATATGAATTGACTATATTTGTTTTGATCTAAATAATGTTTTTTTTAAAGAAAGCAAGTGGCTATCTAGAATGACACATTCTCATGTTATAGTACATGAATTTAAGTAATTATTGAAGTTAGCAATCAATATATTGTGTCTTCGAATGACTGTCAGCTCATAAAGACTTTAAAAATAAAAAATATGTGACTGCTATACACCGTAACATTCTACTAAACCCTGTACATTAAACTTCTACACCCCGTTCACTTAAATTTGTATTTCTTGCTAGACTCTGTACACAAGGAAAGACTGTTTTTCGCAAATTTTGATGAAAGCAGCCCGAGTTGATGGATGACCACTCAAATATAAGTAAAAGAATGTCTATATTGTATATTGAATACGGATTTTGATACAACAAATGCTTCTTGAACCCGATTTACAGGTAAATATCAACATCGTTCGCAAATGTCAACAAAAACGGCACAATTTATCGCCGATTTAACAAAAAGTATTCAATTTGCAGAAAAAAGCAAATACTGCTCTAAACCCTGACATATTTAGCTTCACAAAATTGTTAAGTTTGGAAAAATCGATGGAGTTATGATGGAGAAATAAGTTGAAACATTATCTTTGGTGAACTCGACGTAAACCTTTTTATTTTCGTTTTCGGAGTTTTGAGGGGCTATATCCGGTGGACGCTGTACAACAGTGGGTATCTGAGTGAATTAAGCCTGAACGATCACTGCCTTGTACGAGACCTACTTTCGCTTGGTTTGTTTACATGAAGGATAAAGGATGTTTTGATATTGTTTACATATCAGTATAATCACATGCATATTAGATTGCATTTTACTGTTTGATACATGGTTAGTCTGTGGCTGGTAAATGTATTTCATGCAGGCCTTTTTCAGTTGCTGCTAGTTGTAAGTCTGTAAATTTATTTTTGGACTGCCGTCTTTTCCATATTATATTACCTAAAGGACTACATTTCAAACCTTGTTCAGTATTCAGATATTCAGAGATTAATGGATTAATTTGCAACATACTGAATTTCTCATGATACAAATACAAATTTGATATTAAATTACATAATTGTACATGTTGAATTTACATGGACTTTGATTTACACTGAAAAATACATGGAATCTGAATTGCACTGAATTTCACACGGAATATGAAGCACATTGAATCCAAAATGGAATTTGAATTGTACTGAATTTCTCATGGAATATGAAGCACACCGAATTCCACATGGAATTTGAATTGTTCTGAACTTCTTATGGAATATGATGCACACTGAATTTCACATGGAATTTGAATGGTACTGAATTCCTTATAGCATTTAAAATGTGCTGAAATTCTCATGGCATTTGAATAACCGATAAACAGTTGCCGAACTAGCAGACGACAGGCTATTCTTATCAGTTGAGTTTCAAGTAAAGTTAACCAGATTCATATCTCTCAGAATAAATTGTATGTAAAATGGTTGTGACGGGCCGTAGGTTTAACAGTTAATTAAAGTAACTTTGGTGACAAAAAGAAATTTTGAAGTATATACTGGTACAAAGCTATGATCTCGATAATAATATGACTACCTAATTCTCGGGCTTACCGCACACAGTACTTTCAGTGCTTTGATTATAAGTTTGATAGGTATCTTAGAGCTATGTATATAGTTTATAATAAGGTACTAAGCCTTCGAATAATTTACCGATTAAGACAACTCAATTGTTGTTTGTAAGCAGATAACAATAACACAAGATTTTATATAAATTGTATAATCTTCTGTACACGAAGATACATTGATCTGTATGATTTCTGTCTGTATTCGATATATTGGGAATTTGAATTATTTCTAACGTTGAATGACATTTGACATATTGAAAAGACCCAAGATCGATAAACCTAATTTTATTGATTAATTCCTTCTTGTCCGATCTTGATTTTCTTTATCATTCGGAGTATTGCCATTTGTACAAGCATTTTAAAGAGACCCACTACTTCTAAGTGTAGTCTTACTGTAATAAAAATACGAAAGTTGTGACAAGATTCACTTCAGTATTGGTATATATTTTCATGTCCTCCGGGATTATTGCGTCCAGCCCTTTTTAGGTGTTCAGGATTGAGTACTGCTCAAGTCGGTGTTAGGGGGATTGGGGAATGTTGCACTTTTCATTACCCCTAATGTACTGGCTCAATCCCCAAACAGTCATTATTTTACCATTGTAAAAGCATTCCATCTGTTTTTGTTTCTTTTTTATTATAATGTAATCAATACTATACATATGTATATTCTTCTCATCTGTTGTATGTACATTATAATTATACTGTGTTATGCTCTCTAATTTTGGGGGATAATGAAATATAATTCCAATTTGGGATCAGTCATTTCAAAAATTCGGGTTTGGTCCGTCCATTGTTTAAGTTGACTGAAAGCTCACAACAATGTTATGATGTACTTTGTCCTATATGTTTAATTTTTACCGCACTTTACTAGAACAATAATGATAAATGTTCAATAAGGAAGGGAATCATATTGTTCGTATAACACAAATTCTAATAAAAATAAAACACACACAAAAACAACAAAAAACAAACAAATACCCCGGCAGTTTGTTAAGCTCAAATTATAAATAAATAGAAGCTTGACATGATGTCATTTTAATATTGTTTAATAGTGTGAGCAACATTTTGACTGACATTGACTATTTGCGTTATCCACACACACTTGATGCATGATAACATATTACAATTTTGCTTTAAGCTAAACAAAATGTATCTAGAAATGGTGGAAACAGTAAATTAAGCATAACATGTAAGCTCTGTAAACAGAAGACGTGTCTACAGACAGTATGAACACTTCCGAGACGTAGACGAGTCACTGGATGACCATGCAAGGACTATGCCGAAAATACAAACGAAGGCAAACGTCACGATTGTTTCCGATTTTGTTGATGAGGATCGCCGCTTGCCATACGGGCTGTCTGCGAACATTGAAGCGACAGTCACGGTTCAGTACAGCGTCCTCTTACAGAGATTTGGAAATGAGACGAGTAAGTGCTAGGTGGGTTTCGAGGCTTCTGACGGACGAACAAATGTCTTCACACTGGGAGTGACTGCGATAATGTGATAATCGCAAGGTGACGTCTTTTGTGTGTGCCGCTGGTCGCTTGTGTGATTCATTTTTAAATATGTTGTTTTTTAATCTTTTGGGTTATGTACACCAAATTGTACATGATATTTTATAAATAGATATGCTCAAATGTATACCGATATAATTGTTGAACTGTTCCTACAAAACGAGTCATAAACGCAGTGACAAAACCTTTGGTTTACATTGCTGCAAGTATATACCTGAATACGACTGGTTACGACTTGTTTTAATACTTAAAACTATATTTTTTATTAAGAGCTAATGTTGAAAAACGTAGTGCTTATTTTATAAGACAAAATGTATATGTATGTCTGGTTTAAAAAAAGGTTGCGAATGTAACAATGCCCTTTATGTTCCAGAAATGCTTTTATTTTCATGTCTCAAAAACTTTTTCACTTAAGGTGACTTTTTATAGTTTCTTAAAAGTTATTCATTGGCTAATTACCTGAACCTGTTTTATGTTGCTTTCTGGCATTAAGTTCAGTTATAGTGATTTCGTATTTGAATGGAAGTTAAAATACTACTTTGTTTACATTTTGCTACTTTTTATGACAAATAATATTACATTGAGCCCGACTTTCTTTAGGTAACATTCATTTAACACCATGCTCTAAAACCGTTTTTAGACGCTATAAAATTCACGTTTGCCCTTTCTAAAGAAATAAACATTTATTCGTTTCTGAGAATATTGTGCCCTTTCTTTTTAGTTTCCAATTAGTGTAATGAGTACTTGTATATAAAGTACATAATATATACAATGTACATTATCAAATAATAAAATAAACCTTTTGGAACAAAAAAGTATTCCTATTCTCTTGCTTGATAATTCAAAATAAAGACCAATTTTCAGAAACCGTGAACTAAAAAAAGGGACAAAATTTTTCAATAACTATATCTTATTAATATCATACCCCACAGTGATACAGTGACTTATGATCACACAAAATATATAACAAAAGACAAACTGCATGAGAAAAGACAACTTACTTCACTGATTGATCAACAATTTATTTCATCAACAATGTTTTAACAAATTCAATCAGACAACAATGAAGTTAATTAGTTTGTAAAGAAACAATGCATGTGAAGAAATACAGTTACTAGCTGTTTTCACATAAATTAACCCATGTCCTTTTATAAGATAGGAATATACCTCGAAACAATTCAAGAGAAAGTTAATATGTAAAATTTGCATTACAAAATAATGAATAGATTTCAAATCGTACTTACTTTTAAACATATATGAACACTCATATCATTCTGTGAACAGTAATAATTAAATAATATTTAGGAATATGAAACTGTTATCTCAAAAACAACTACAAGCGTACACATGTAAGAAATGTATACATATTTTGTATTCTAAAATGTGAGTTTAAAATTAAAAGCAAAATATGTGCCTGCACATATCAATATAAATAGAAAAAAATTCAACAAAACGGAATGATAAAAAGATATGTATGTTGAAATAACATAGCTTTAAGATGTAAATATGTCCCGTGATATTCATTACATCATGGTGACAGTTCAAGGTGAGGTGTACAACAACAATAATAAGTTCTTTATATAGGCAAGTTTTGTCTGAGATATATTGTTTGCTGTTATTATTTTATCCAGTATATATTTTGAACTTTGTAAAGCAGTTATATCGCCATTGTTCTTGTGACATGATATTGAAAAATTCGTTGTATATCTAATCATTGATACACTACGTATATTATAAAACTTTTCCATAAATTGTCATGTTGTTAGTTACCATGCATGTAACGTGACTATATATCAAACACATCACAATTGATGTAAACTCTATATTTACTGATTAGCACTTTTGTCAATATAAGGGATAAATTATATTCAAATAATTTAGAAAGCTTTAAACGAAAAAAATAAACCCATACATACCATGAATCGTTTCAAACAAACATAAAATCACTCATAAAAACTATTATAAAAATAAATACATTTGTACAATTGCATTGACATTTGCATTGACTTATGGAAAGTAAGTATAAAGAAAGAACTAACAAACATACATAAAACAACGACTGTAACAAAGTCCAAATAAATAAAAGTTTAGGAAATATCATTACTTAATATTAAAATTAAACAAATAAGACAGACAATAGTTATTTTTTTGTAAGGAAACAAAAAAAAACCAGTTTTCCTACTGATTACGCACAGCCTTTGGTCAAAGCATAGAAAGGTGTTATAATATTGACGTTCTTTGTTCACATTATACAGCAAACTAATAAGAAATAAGAAAATGTAAAACATGCAATTTAAATTGGACATAAAAAAGCTTCATTTAATGAATTGTCAAGAGAAATTTATATCATTATTTTAAAATATTAGATACTGACATAAAGCTGGCATTAAGATATGGTCCCGGTATGATCACAGAACGCCAGAAAATATATTTCAGGCATCAACCGATATGTGAGAAAGCAATAATCTTTTGTTCGTTCGAACTCTCTTAATACTGCAACAATAACATTGAGCGACAACTTCGTTATATCTTAGTTGACCCATAAAAATCCGTTGTTATAACAGTGTTTTCAGAACCTCTTTTGTCAAACCTCGTATAGGATATCCATTCTTGAAATTGTACTACATTTCATGGGGTTTTTGAGGTACAAACCTCATTCCTATAAAGAAAAGGATCAAGTATATAACACATGAAGATCCCATCACTACACACGCCTCCCACACGGAATTCCCTTGCAGAGAGTAACTTTCTAACGCCATCGTGCCGTTTTTTATACATGACCCCGGAATGGCGTCATCACAGTTGAATTCCAAACTTTGAATTTGTACTTTACATAATGCTTGAAAGCCCCATTTTAGATAGGACACTGACGACACCCATTTCAATCCTGAAATAAAAAAAAGAAATTTTAAGATTCAAGGGATACACTATTCGTTTCAAATAATACAAATTAGACAAATAAAAAATAAAATAAAGTAAAAATTCTTTTTACCGGAACACTTCTTTATAGACTTGTCACATGCTTTCTGTTTTATATTTTACAAGGAAATAGTGACAAAAGAAATACAAATCAAACAATGACCTTTAAAGTGATATTATGCTCATTATTTTATTGGCAAGTTGAGCTGAACTGACTATATATTTTAAAACATTGACTGTTACAATGGTGGTTGACCAACGGTTTATATTGTGAAATGTGTCCGATAAAATATAATCTGCCTAAAATATAAAAAAATTACAGGTAGGTTCTGACGGATATTTTTAGAAATTTCCTTGGGCCATATGAGTTATTTATCATTCATGCGAAGTAAAATATAAAATTGAATGGAATTGTGGTAAAATTTAAATTTATTTTGACTTCCACCTGTTCACTCACTATAAACTCTTAGATGGACATAATGTCACTGTAATTCCAAACGAATTAGATAGTTTCCTAATGTTTAATCTCATGAAATAAAATGTAAACTTACCATCAAATATATTATCCAAATTGATAAAGAACCCTGCCGACATAATATACATTGAAAAGAAAGTTTGTGCAAAGAAACAACCAAGTTGGAATGTTGGCATGACTGCTGCAGAAAACATGGCTAATGTTCTACTACAGTATACAAGAAGGAATAATATCGCAAACACTGTCAAAAAGTCTTCAACATTCAGCTTTAGCCCCGCTATAAAGTACACCGGAACTGCATACACTGCCACAAAGAATGTATGGAATGGTAACTCGCTAAATATCTGAAAAATAAAATGAAATTTAATGAATTTAGAATTAGCTATATAAAGCTTTGTGTATTAAACACAAAAAAGAGAACAAAAAAGATCAAATGTTTTAATAATGTAGTCATTTAACTTTTCTTATTGTTATACAAAGAAAACAATAAATAAAAATGTGGTGTAAAACGTCAAATATACCTTTGCAAAATAATACGGCGTGACTCCATACAGTCGGTCCTCTAGTTCAAAGTATAGAAAAGACCGCTCTTTATGGTCTACAAAAGCGAAATAACACATTATAGTAAATTAATAAAAAACAACACAAAACAGTCAATGAAAGAGTTGTCCTAGCAGTTTTTGGTTTTTTTGGGTTTTTAAAATTTAACCCAAAGACAAAAAACAAAACTTGGGGAAGAACTGTTTTTTTCCTTTATATTTTTACACCAAAATTTTTCAATTTTTTTCAAGGGAGCGGACCAAAAATTTTTGTTAAAATGAAAATAAAATGGGGGGTTGAGTTTTTAATTTCAAGGTTAAAAAATAACTACAAAGAAAAGGGGATAATTTTCAAAAAATAGTTTTGTTGTTTTCTTATTATTTAAAAAGTAACCATCAAAATTTTTTGGCCCGCGGGAGATTGGGGTTTTCAAAAGTGGCCATTTTTCTTTACAAAAAACATTTTTTTGTTTCCCCTTTTTAAGAAAGAAAAATTGGTTTTTGTGTCTTAGAAAAATCTTATAAAACTTTTATATTTTACTCTGTTATAGTTTAACACATTCACGATAAAAATATAATTTCACTTGCATTCAATTTCAACAGACACATATATAAAACTTGTTTGCAAGCCTTTTGTTTTTGATTGAATTGATTTGATTAAGAATAAAAAAACAACACTAAAGTGCTCCAAATATGCTTATTTGACTTCAAGAAATAACAAGACTTTTAATATTAAAAATAACAACAAAAGCATTATCGGTTTATAAACTTACACAGTCCAATGAGGTCTAAAACGACCATATACGGATATAAGGCACCAATAATATACATCATCCCAAATCTGTCCCTAACTGATGATTGGTCAAGGCCCAGATTGAAATAAACAAACCCCACAACCACTGACATAGCAACCGCTTGTATGAACTGCGTTGCCAGGTAACCGTAATCTTCTACAATATTCCTCGTTGATCGTCTAAAAACCAAAGAAAAAAACACAAAATATTGAAATACTGATTCTGTTTTACTAGTTATGATATACACATGTATAGAATATACGATCTTGAAGTTGGAACTAAATACGGTTTCCTTCTGACCTATTCAAACTTTAAAAACATTGAGGCACAATCATATATCTATATTTGAAAACAGATTGCTTTCTAAAAAAATTGAAAAAAGGGTGATCCCTCAGAAGCATTAGAATCAACAAAATAACAAAATTGCAGATGCGGTTTGATTCAGTCTGTGCACGAAGGATAATGAAAAAGTGCAACATCCCTCATGCCCCCTAGCTCCTAAGATGACATTCAAAGCTTAGTTTTGTCTAAAACACATTTGGTGAATTATACATAATTCAAAAAAGTGTCATTCAAATAACATAATGTACATATATAGATTTTGATATATAAAACCTCTTTTTCATTTTATTTAGTTTCGCACATTGTTTATTCGTTTTCGGCATATGCATTTTTTTACTCCAAACGGGACCATGTTCCGCTTTTCATGCAATAGCACGAACGTGTCACATAGAATGTTTCATGATAACCGCCTTACAGACACATCTGCGAATGTTTCTAAATTCACAATTTCACCATCATGTTCAAATATTGAATTCTGCTAAAGTCGGTGTGAGGAGTGTGGACGATAGCCTGTACCTTAAGTACCGTCCATGATCAGGCTTAATCAAACTGAGTCTGCAACATTTTACAACTGTGCCATTTTGGACGTTCTTCAGGAATTCCGTTTTCCTATATTTTATATATTATGTCAGGGCATAATATTATACAAGATTTTTCAAAGAACGATTATTTCTTGCATTGCAATACAATTATTTACATTTTCTTAGTATGCATTTAATGTTTATATCATTAACTATCTCAGCAGACACATGTTAGAAATGACATTCTTTGTATTAATTTGCCTTAAGTATTTTATCCGCCTTAAATCCGTATTTGAGGGATTCCTTTTTTTACTTTTTATATTACCTGTAAAGTATCCAGAACTGTCTTAACGGTCCTGGTTGATGTTCTAGGTTTCTGAACATCGCCAGCACAGGCCATTGCTCTTTATTTTTCTCTTCCTTATCTTTACTAGTTGACCCACTTCCAGTTAGTTCTTTCTGACTGTCTTTGTAAGCTTTAACCAAGGTTCCAACCATCTTTGTACTGTTAACCTCGGACTCCTCAGATGTCGGGTCGATCGTGGCGAGGTCAACTATGAATACATGTAAATATGATTAAAGTATTTTAAAACAGCTATTGTTATATACAGATCTAAATAAATATAAACATGTATCAATCCTCATCAAACCCAAAAGGGCGAACCGTAATATTTCTTTTCGATATCTATCGCATTTCAAAGATCAATGCATTTCAATTATGAAATAAATTTGAAGAAATAACCCAACTTGTTTGGTATACAGTTTTTACTGTATAATTGCATCATTCTATGTTATCTATTTATGTAAAATGTATAATAAATCCGGTATATACATTGTATATCAACAATCAAACTTATTAACCACATCCAAATACTAGTATTAGATATTGATAGTGAAGAAAATAATCACATATATTTATATTACACACACGTTATTTATCTATAATCAAACATGTACCGTAGAAGTCACATGGGTTTGTGAATTCTGGACAAGGATGTCCGAGATTGCTGAAGTAATTGACCATATTTGATGCCTGGCCGTAGTACGCCATCTCGCCTTTTGACAGGACCAACACCATATCAAACAATTCAAATATATCAGATCTGTAAACAATATAATCAACATAGGTTTTTCTGTGTGTGTCAAAATATGTTAGATACCAAAATTAAAACTTCAAATGTAATAAGAAATGTATGATTTCAACAAAAAGAAAAAAATGTGTGAACTGCTACTGATTGTTAAATGTTTAACAATGAAATGAATTTGTCTTAAATATGAAACATGACATAACAATCAGCTTTCCAAACGCTGAAAATGCATGTAAGTGAATATCTTAATAAAATGTATTGACCATGTGTTTTCTCCTGATCCTTGATTAAAATGAAACCCGGAAAGCAATGATTCACCGTACACATAATTTTATATATATTAATATGAAATAGATTCTAAACTTGATATTATTCAAACATACAATAAATTATTCGACAATATCTAAAAGTTTAAGTATAATTAAAAAAAACGCAATGCTATCAAAATGTCTCAAACGATTGTTCTAGTGTACAATTGAAGCAGACGGTAAAATTTTTTGATTACGTAATACCCTACAATCAGACAAAATCTCTACCAGACACTTGCATCAGTCTGTAAAATGCCCCGGCATGTTCTAGCCTAAATCAGTCTCTAAATATGGTAATACACCCTTTAAAGATATAATTATGTAACAGTTTCAGATATCTCCAAGGGAATCTGAACTCATTAATTGTTCATACATAATGCAGCTGTGGTAATGTAATTGGATTAATTCTGATGATATGCATATCGGGAGAATTGTTATAGTTTTGTTATCTGACTAAACTGATTTCAAATAAATGTGCCGCGCCTTGATCAGGATCCATGATGTTCGTTATCACTTCATCTACTTGTAATATGGTTTGTAAGCGAACAGCATGGATCCTGATCAGACTGCGCGGATCCGCAGGCTGGTCTGGATCCATGCTGGTCGCAAACGCTTTATGTTGGGTTTGTCATGGCGTGGCTCAAATGCGCATGATGTCATCTCGCTGTGATCAGTAGTGATTCGTTCATTTCTCTGCTGCATGTCGAAAATCATTAACCATTAACCAACTGCATTATTTCCTATATGGACTTGCCCAGTTTCATTCGGAACATCTCGGCTATTATTCGTAATTACCTCGGACTTAATACGGATTAAAAGTAGTTCTGACGCGTAGTTTTAGATGTAAGCAAAAACAGAAGCTGTAATTTTTGTTAATATAGAACGAAAGTGTGTATTTGACATCAAAAGAAAAATAAAGTCTATGTCGGTATCATGATGATTGAAAATATGTCTGACAATCATAAAGAATTTAAGAAATGTCAAATGATGTACATTTTATAAACATATCCAAATTAATGTCAACAGGTACATGTACACATTTTGCTCTTTCGGTTTCTTCAACCATAATAATAAGTATATAATCATTGTAGTGCTTACTTTTATATCTATATATTAACTTAATTTAGGTGGACTTTTACTCGATATGTTGGTATAAACTCAATAAACAACTCCCAGCATTAAATTGCTATTTGTTCACATGTTTAGTTTCTTAGCGTAGGGGTGACGGAAATACCGTATCCGTTCTGTGTATTCTAACTATTGTGTTCGAGGTCCTTATCCAAAGTTTGACGGAAAGGGTGAGAAGATGCGATTGGTCCAGCTTCTATTTTTGAAACTGTCCATTTTCAATTTTGGAGTAATTAAGACGCCAATTTCAAGTTGATTAGTCATCAGTATAGAGCCTGGTCAGACAAGACTGTTGTACAGACTGGCATGGCTTCATAGAGGTGAAAAATGCTGATTACCTTCAGTTCGAGCAGAGAAATGGTTATGATCGTACCAGAACAAAAAGATGGCTTTAAAATATAATTTTATCAATTTGTATGGTGAATATTACACTGTGATGGTAATAAGACGATTTTAGAATTCATGTTGCAAGTGGTGATAAACTTTAACCCTTGCTTGCTTGTATCGAAGGTGATTAGTCGTTATCACCATCACTGCAGTCTGACCAGGTTCTACACTGTTGATAGCTCCATTTTTATATCTTGATAATGAAATCCCTAAAATTTTAATAAATGGACTGTTCCAATACAAAATTGAAACAGGTAATAGGGGAATTATCTCTCTGTACATTACATAGTGAGCAACGAAGTATCATCATCGGTACTCGGCAAATTCACGTGATAACTTTCACACATGAACATATTTTTATCACACAAGTTAGGCAAAGGATGGTGTACAATACTGACCTTGGCTGATGTATTGATAATAAGACTGTTCGGTTATTTTTGGCAAGTTTTGCCAAGGTCTCTACGAGATGATGAGCAGTGAAGGAATCAAGACCAGATGTAGGTTCATCGAGAAACAGAACACCTGAAATTAAAAAGAAATTTGATCTTAATACCATCATGTGAAAATATCTATTTTCTAAAGAATGAAGACAGTACAAGCTTGTTGTAATAAAAAATGTCAAATTATTTTTTCTACAATTGAAAAAAATCTTTTTAAATGATATGGGTTTGTAATGAGGAAGCGTTCCTATAATTTGTGAATAATAAATAACCTCAGTTTGATATCAGTTGTTGCGTCATCAATATTTGTTGTTTTGAAGATAAGTCCTATTGGCGTCAGCTAAATGTCACCGGCTATGGTTATATATGTATCAATTTTATGGTTATTAGTAAAAAGTCGTGTTACCGAATACTCCTTCCTCTGATAAAATAGAATTTGAAAATGCTACAAGAATCTATATTGACCGTAATCGTATATATAAGTAATGAATACATAAATATATTATTCCAAAAATCACAAAACTTAATACATATTTCAATATTCGTTTGAGATGAATATGTTAATTGTTGTTCATTCATTGATATAAATTAATACTTTCAACGTTTAAACGAGCAGATGTTTTGTTGTACTTATCACTTGGTATATTGTATTAACGTGCATATTGTGTCCAAAAAGAAGTGATGTATTTTTCGGAAACATAGCTACCGTACATAAAATGTGTTCTTAAATCGTGTACATTTATGCTTTTATGATAAGATCGATGATCAAACTTGATAGGCGAAAATAAAACGTAAACAACTTGGGGTTGTATTCTACCGTAGATAAATCAAATATTTAAATTCAGATGAAAAAACTATTGATATATAACAGACTTAGAAAGGTGCCAGTTTTGCCACAATGATAAATTATGTCAAACAACAGATTTATGCAGAACAAGATAATTCTAAAAGTATTTCAACAATCTTTTTCATGAATGAATATTTAAAAGCATTATTATCAGAAAAAGTTATCTAGAAAAACGTTGTTTGATGTTGTATTGTGTATTCATCTTGCGAAATCACTTAAAAACAGTTGCTTTTTAATAAGATGCTCGAAACATGAAGTTATTTGAACAACCTATACATTCCATTAGTTTTCAATGATTTCCTTAAATCATTTTACAATTAAAATTTTCATGAAAAAGATGAATGCTACTGTCCTCGTGAATTGTCATTTTGTCTTATAAACAGTAGGTGTGCTAGTTGCTGTTCTATAAAAGTGCATATTTGTGGTTTGCTAGTCATTCGTACAGGTGCTGTTGTATTGCATTGGGTGCTTTTCTGTATCAATGCATTGTGTGTTTGTGTTTTTTGTATGAAATTGCCAATTTTCTGATTTTCTCAATGTTATAGATATGTGCATCCGTAGAAAGCTAGACCAGCCGATACACCGGACTATTTTGTCTGCGGTTTAATCTTAGGATTTTAATTTTAAAATCCATAAATCTTACATAGACAGTGCGTTGTTAACAGCAGGTCAAGTCCATGAAATAAATTCAGAACCGGACAAGTGTATTATTGATATTCTGAAGAGTAATGTGAAACAAAATATGGTATCAGCAGAACAATTATATGACTATTGTTGATTGATATAATGTTTTTGTATGCGGGTAACTGTGCGCATGTGTACGTACTGGCATGCCAATGATTGTGTTGAAATTGCTACTTACATACTTTTTTAAATCAGTTCAAAGGAGCAAAATGTAAAACAAAAATAAATAATAGAAAACAGATAACTTTTTGTTTAATTTAATGAAAATGCAAGGGCCGATTCTACATTGAAAAGAAAATATCTGTTCAAAATTGTTTTATGATAAGGATAATACAGTTATCACTGAAAACTTCAATAATTTCGTCTCGTTACTTCGTTCATATATAATTATATTCGTTATCGGATTTTAAACAGCATATTCACTCACTGGGATCAAGAAGTAGTTGGACACCAATACTGACACGCCTTCGCTCACCGCCAGACACACCTCTATCTTCAGCTCCGCCTACTTTACTATCAGCTACATGACTCAAACCAAGTTCGTTGATAACACTTTCTACCTAAATTAAATTAATGTTTAACAATAGTAAACTATCATACAAATATTAATGTATATAAAATAGAAAGCTGAAATAACAGCCAACATGGTACAGTTCGTTCGGTTTGATGTACATCAAACACTTGTCTATAAATTTAAATACATAAACTGCGCCTTGCTGATAAATGTAACGTTTACTTTCGTAAGGTGTGATGAACTGATGATATTTGTTTTAAATCAAGTGCCCGTTCGTGCCAAAAATAATGCAAAGAAGGACACCAGAGGTCTTCCTCCACTAGTGAAGCTGAAAAGTCACTATATAGCATCTATTGTGTTAGTGCGATGTAAAACCCAACAAAAAACTTACTCTTTTCTTAATTTGTGCATTTGTAAATGTAGTTGGAAGCTTAAGCTGTGCAACAAACATCAACGTCTCCTTGACTGTGAGATGAGGTAACAAGCGATCGTCTTGTCTCACATAAGCAGAACAGCCTCGCACCATTGTACTTGTGCGAGCCACATTGTTCAAGTACACATCTCCTGCGATCAGCCCACCACCTTCTGTCCGACATGATATTACATCTAGTAATGTTGTCTTGCCACTACCTGGAGAAACATTGAATATGAATATATTTGCTTTACTTTTAATAACTTAATTTTGATAAAATTAACCACAATGTATAAGTAAAATCATTTCTATACAATTTAAAAAGTTTCAGTTTTATGCTTGTCAAAAAACAATACACGTGCTTTTATTTTCAGTTTATCATTGCTTTGAATTAAAATCTTTCAAATGGGTATCTACTGAATTTAATATGGTCATACTAACCTGAATTTCCCATAATTGCCAACATTTGACCACTGTTTATTGAAAACGACACATTGTTGAGAACTTGCTGAGGTTCACAGTTGTCTACCCATTCCCATGGCAACTGCATTGTCGACAATTTCTGCCACCATGACAACGAGGCTGGATTCACAGTATATGACAGTGCTTTGACCTTGACATCTATTGACGGTCTCTGTGTAAAGGTCGCACCAGGGATATGATAAATAGAAGACGGACTAGATGCTCGTGCAGCCATGATCTTGTCCTTGTTCACAACTGAAATTATATCACTTACACTATTTCTCCTTTTCATAATAAATTATTGATAAATAAGATCCCCTTTTTTAATTAACAATCATATAATTGTAGTAATATGGTATCTTTTGTTTTTTTTTATTTATTTCATAAACTGCAAAATTGACCAAAAGAACACCAACAAAGGCTTAGAATGCATAAAAACGGAAAGTTGGATCACACTATCAGATTGCTACTATATTGTATTTATACGAGATGAAAACAAAACTTAAAGAACAAATTGGTTTAGCTTATCAAATTATACGAAGGATTATGGTAACCGTGTAGTAAGGGCTGAATTAAAAAGTGCGGCACTGTCAAATCAATAACTTGAAAGATAAAGCAATCCACAAAATAAATTAATTGTCATTCTTATCTAAAAATCATTGAGTTCCAAGTATAGTGAAAAAAAGAAACTCAAATATTTGAAACATTTGACCTTGGTGAGGATATCAAAAATAACCTAAGCTACATAAGTCTGAACTTTGTTTCAGATTAAAATACTTTATTTTTTTTTTTGGTATTTATGCAATGTCTTTTATTTCGTTTAATTACATATTGTGATTATTCAATTTTGGAAAAAATATACATGTGAAAAGGAGATAAACAGTGTGCGGCCGCTTGTGAGGTGAGTTATAAACATTTCTAGCATCTAGTGTAAAAAAGTGATGAACTTCCAACGTATCTAATATAAAACATTTTATATATAGTATCAGGAAGTGTGTTTCGTTTTGTACTTACCTTCACTTCTTTCAGTTTTTCCTATAGTAGAAAGTTTTATTTAGAGTTATATTTAATCACATTTTAAACAGACGTTGTTTCATTACCACTTTTCTGATATCCTTTCATGAATGTCTACATATTAAGTCCATATCTATAGGTTAAAATTGTTGTCGCTTTTCATAACGTTATAAAGTGCACCCGTTATCTAAACGTTATCACATTCACTGTTTACCCAAGGACGAATTCAACGATTGCAAAATTTCAGTCAAAACAAACACCCTTAACAGTGGTCAGCCAGACGACTTTTGTACTCATTTCATAACCTTAGTCATATGATCAATATGATTTATAATATAATATGAAAAGTAAAATGTGTTAAGCTATGTATTGTAAAGCAATTAAAACTGCGCATTATAAATCAGATATTTAATTATCTGACGGACATTGTAAAAATTTATTGGTATGGTTGAATTCTTATAGATATAAAATACATGTATAATATCTAAACATTTAAATTTCAGACCAAAAGAAAATGAAACGCAATAATTAAACCTTGTTTCTCATCATGGTATCTTTCAGAAAGACTACATGTTCCGAATAATGCAATATCATAAATATCAATTTGAAATTTGCAATCGACATAAGAACTTAATTATGAAGGAAAATAAGTTTTAAAAGTTTTGTTCATCAACTGCGTACTTTCAGTTGAGAACTTAGTAAGATCAAGTTATCGACTTATTTTCACTTCATTTATCATTCATTTGATATAAGGTCAAAACTATTTAAAACCCCGAGGAGAATGAAATTAAACATATTTGAAATAATAACTGAGGAGCAATATTTTAATAAGTTATATTTGTTATTTGTATCAGTTGTTTAAAGTTAAACCAACTTGATGAGATAACGTCATGGTACATTCAGTATCATATCTATGGACAACAAGTCCATTGTGACTCAAAGTCCTCAATCAAAACAAGTCGCCATGTAACAAAGTAATAATTTGACCATGACATTGAGTGTTTTAACATCTAACTATGAATCATCTCTATCATGTATTTACCAATGAAATACATTTCCTGTGTTCTTGAATTCTTACCAGAACAATGACTACAGGACAATAATTACAGTGAGTAGACTTATCTTGTTACTCATAAGAAGTTTTTTTTTACCAAAACAAATCTGAAATTTAACGGTCTATCAGTACAAATTTTAACTTGTCAAATGTTTACTTGAATTGTTTGTATAATTACAATGTAATAATCAAGTACGTGTTCACACGAAAAAGAAACGTCTTATTGCAATGTTATAATCAAGTACATGTTCACAAGAAAAAGAACGCCGGCACTTGGTTATAATGGAAATTATTATACTTATATTAAAAGGATATCAACAATTTTGTCATTTATATGTGTAAAATGTTTAAGCTACAAAATGTTTTACTTTTAATTGAACTTTGATTATAATAACTCATATGACACAGGGGTGAAAGGCATCAGAAAATTTCTTATGATTTTAATTGCACTTTGCCACCGAATGTTGGCACAAGTAAAACAATTTCTGATGATTGATCAAATTGAAAATAAGTCATCACGTAGCTAATATATCTTTTTCCAAATTTTGATACTGAATTTTCCCAATAAATATATGTTCATAAATTAAAAATCTCTAAGAAATTGTACAAATTTTCTTTTCAAATAAGTAACAACTCATCTACATTTAATTTTTAGAAGAAAAGTACGTTTCGAAGATGCATATTAACATGTTTTAGTCTGTACATTAATCTAAGAGTATTTATATTTTACTTTTTTTTCATATTTGATATTTTTAAAACGCTTAAAAAAGTATTGGGGCATATATGTGAAAGTAGTTCGTATCTAATGATAATCAAAATTCGTCAGTATATACATGTATTTCAAACGATAATAGAAATTTATGTATGATAAAAGCTAAATACCATCTTGGTCTGATATTTTTTTCTCCTTATAAGTGAGCCGTGTCATGTCAAAACCAACATAGTGGGTTTGCGACCAGCATGGATCCAGACCAGCCTGCGCATCCGCGCAGTCTGATCAGGATCCATGCTGTTCGCTTACAAACCCTATTACAAGTAGAGAAACTGATAGCGACAGCTTGATCCTGATCAGACTGCGCGGATGCGCAGGCTGGTCTGGATCCATGCTGGTCGCAAACCCACTATGTTGGTTTTGTCGTGACAATGCTCATTAATTATAAAGACATTTATAAATTTAGTAAAAAACAATATTGATTTCTCAGATGGTCTTCTTTAAAGTAAATATTACAGCACTATATTATTTACATGGTTTAGAATTTAACTGAGACAAATTGGTCCGGAAATTAGAATTATGTGATTTAAAGCTCAATAACAGATCCTATTAAGCCAGTGTGCCAAAAACAGTGTAATCATTCTGATCAAGTTTTAGTAGAGTTGGCACAGTTAGCTATAACAGCTATGTTTCTTGACGACAGTTTGTGTGTTTTTGTTGTAGTAAAATTAAGATAGTATCTAAATGACTGACACCCAATGTTAACTATATAAAACGGATGGTGTAAGATACGGCAGATCTCCTCGAGTTTCTTTTAATAATTTGAATGTCCTTTCGCTAGTCAGACGACGCTATTATATCCTCTATGTATTATACAGCAAAATTTTTGTACATGCCGTAATGAAATAACACCTTCAAAGCTATTTACATTATGTCATATCAACGTTTCGGGTATCATTTAATTTCTAAGATTTATATTGTATCGCAAGCATTATCAGACTATAGAAAAGAGTGCTTGCAATAAAATATTGCATTTTTGCATATATGTAAGGGCATGCGAGCAGACTGGGTAACTTAGAATGATAATCATTTGTATACAACTTTCGGCAAACGGAATTGCGTTTACTAACTTACTACACAACATGTATTATTGGTATTCTTGTTTGTTACCTGCTGTTTTAATAACAGTAGCTGTTGCTTCATCTTTATATGTGGTATATAGAACTCCCTTTGCCGTGTTAGATCTTTCTAAAAGTACTTCATTCGTGTGTCCGCCAGCACTATACAGATTTGATGGACATGACGCCATTTCTTCAAAATCTGAAGACAAAAAATAAAATTATAATTATAATTTCATAAATTGCCTAATAATCTGAAAATTCCTTTGGTTGATTACTATGGGGAAAATAATATTGGTGGATTTTGTATATGTCTTATTATGTAAGAAGATGGACGTTTTGTGAGTTTTTTTGTGATGTCTGTGATGTAAGAAGAAAGTGTGAGGAGCTAGACTGTTTTGGGGAACAGAAATTGATAAACAGTAATATAAGCGAGAATGTTAAATTAACAACTTCGTGTATAAAAACTAGAAATACAATAAGCAATTGATTCGATCAAATGAAGGAGTTTTAACTTTTGATATTATGAACAAAACATACTTAAGATATTTTAAATTAAATATATTGACTTCAAAATTAAAGAGAAGAAAATTTTCACGAATTTTGAAATACAATGAAAACATATATATTGTACGACTGTGTTTTAAAAAACAAATGAGTCGCGCCATGACAAAACCAACATGGATCCAGACCAGCCTGCGCCTCCGCACAGTCTGATCAGGACCCGTGCTGTTCGCTATCAGTTTCTCTACTTGTTATAGGGTTTGTAAACGAACAGCATGGATACTGATCAGACTGCGCGGAAGCGCAGGCTGGTCTGGATCCACGCTGGTCGCAAACAATTCATGTTGGTTTTGTCATGACGCAGTTCAAATGTTGTCATATTGTCTGCCAGTCGATGATAGTTTGACATGCCTGCTAAGTAACGCATACAACATTTTTATATTGATAACAAGTTCGAACAAATTGCAAGCTAATAGAAATATAGGCATAACTATTTCTCTGCCAGTTTTTATAACAACACACAATAAAGTGTTAAAAATTCTACTTTTATTATTTTTGCAAAAAGATGTACATGTTTGCCCGTTGCTGTGAATATTAAAATGTTCACTTGTACAAACAAGACGGTGATTCAATAAATCGATAAAACAAACATAAATTTTATAAACTTTATTTGTTTTATACGTTCGAACACGCTATAAAACTAATAAAATTGTACAGAAAATCTTCAATAAATTGTTGACTGTTGCTGACATGATTACAGATTTATTTCTGTACGACAAGACCCATCGAACGTTTCATTTCCTACTCTTAACTTAAGTAAATAAAGCTTCACGACAATTATTTACTTACCGTTCTTCTACGAGTACATGTTTCTTTTAGTTGCATTTTGATTTACTAATTTAAGGAGCAATGTGCAACATCATGTTTTTAATAGATGATAATTATAATGTCGGACACTGGGCAAATAAGATAAACGAAGTATAATAACAAATTCAGAAAAAAAGGTACACAAAACGATTCCTGAGTACTGGAGAAATCTACAGACTTTTCTCTCCCCCACCCTATAAAACCTAGAAATAACACGATAACACGAGTTTTTTTCCCAAGTCAGACACCTTACATGAGTATGTATCATTTTACTGCTGTAAAAATAATCTAGTTGTCACAAACAGTCAGAAGTCTATCTTGGTTTGTCTGATTATATATTGTCTCTATGTCCTCGTAAGATTTAATTTGGAGAATGAATGTAACTAATGTTTTTTTTTTTGTATATGCATTTAATCCTTAAGTTGATTGTATTCTGTGAGTTCGTAACACACCTTTCTTCAAACCCAATCACTACAGGGTATATAACACCAACAACTGCTACATTTAAGTGGTTGGTTTCTGCTCTTTTTATCTTTTATTCAGTATTAAATTGAATTCCAATGGGGCATCTGCGAAATCAAGTCGTACAATAGTAATAGTAATAAAACTGTTACAGCTCAAATTCATTTACATTTAGAAAATTGAATTTGTATCGAACTAAAGAAAAGCAAAACCCACATACATTGTATATTGGTTTCGAAAACAGTACTTTCGTATATTTCATCCCACACTAGACTGATAATTTGACTAAAAACTATAAATTCTTTGCCAGTGAAATATCTTTCACTTATTATAGCTTTGAGATGAAAATATGACGTCATCGAGATGAACATTTTTCCATTTACCTCCAATGTGATGGTCTTGACAAAAGTCATAAAACACAATTAAGATAATTTTAAACACGGTTATATCACAACATGTCTACAAATATCAGGAAGGAGCTTAGGCCGAAATATCGCCCCGTACTTTCAATCAAATATGTAATATTTTTTATCTTTGAAAATAGTTCTGCACAACATTATTGTTTTATTTGTGGTATTTTAAGATTCTTCTTTTTGATATTTCTCTACCTAAATACTGTATATATATGTGTTTGTCTCTTGATGAAAACGAACATATAAAAATGTCTTTGGCAAACAATGGTTATGATTCAACATATCAATGAAACAAAGAACGTTTTAGAAAACACTTTCGTATTTGTATTTGTCTTATAAAATGCGACGAACGTTTACTGCTTCAAAAACTATCCTTAATATCAATGACTGACACACTGACATGACTTTTGTAGCAAATTACACAATTATTTCAGTAAGATAAGACCAATCGTCGTGTTTATGGCCTTTTTCTCAGCTAAACTTCTCGGCACTGATTACTTACTGTCCTTCTACGAGCAATGTCTCGGTAAATTACGTTTTGATTTTCTCATTTAATTAAAGCGCCAAATATGACTTCGACGATATTGATTGGTTATAAATAGTGTATAAATAAGCAAATAAAATAAACGAAGTATGATAATCTCTGTTTCGTATTTTATCAGACTAACTATAACTGACATTTGACAGAAGTAGTACATAGATTTACACTGTCGCCAGTTAATCTGACTGTACATTTTTCAAGTAATGAGCTTTCCATAATAAAGAAACATCTAGATTGTAACTTCGGAAATTTTGAAAATCTGAAATTGTACATGTAAAACATCACTGCCGTTTAACATGGTCAGTATAAACATTTTTGTTACTACAGATCAATTTAGGTGAAGCAAAACAATAACTTTGAAAAAGAAAAGAATTTCATATTAATTTCTATTTGGTCATAACTTTTTTCATCTACATCTAAACGAAAACAATACAAGATAAGCTGATAGTTATGCAATTTATCTTTTTTTGCAATGGAATTTAGTGTTTCTTTATAATAACACAACTTCACCAATTTTACTGCGGTATGTGTGTGGTTTTTTTTATCTACAAATACAAATTTTAAATTTTGTCAGAGAGCGATATTGGATAACCTAATTGCCAACATTTTCCACAATACAAATATAATTGCTGTTATCATATTACGAGAACGCTCTCGTGAATCAATGCTCGGATCATGTATAGAAATGTTTGTAATATTGTTTCATTATTTTAGTAAGTTTATTATTATTTCAATGTCATGAATTGTTAGAATTCGACATGGGATAGTCTACTACTTAAAAAACGTCCTGTAAATGAAAGATTTACATGAAATAAAACTAAAGCTTAACTTGAACTTTGACAATGAAGAAAAATGTGTGATATTAAATTACAGTTTACTGTTAGTCGTAAAATATTAATATGTTTAATGCTGGGACCAAAAATAACGGGACAGGCAACTATTTTTGGTCCCAGGTTAATAATTACTGAAAAAAGTAAAAATAATTAAGATCTTAAAGACACCTTTTGATGATCACTAAAGAATATTCACATAAAATATTAATCTAAAAACTTCTTTTGGGAGATTTTCATGCAACAGACACTCACGTGTTTGACACAATCTGCCTTAAGGCATAGTCAGATGAGATATTTTTCTAAGTCGAATATTTACTGAACGACTATAGTACTTTTTCACAGAAAGATGTTTAAGTTATCTGTCTGCGATGTCTTTCAAACACATAAGCAGAGATTTTTGTTAAACAAGTGTCACTTAGTTCAACAGATTTTTAAAGGCACATTAAACCTCAGAAATCCATATTTATTAAATTCTTTAGAAATGTCAAACATGTGTTTAATAATGTTTTCATAATGGATTTGGGGCATGTTCCATGTTTAACAGTTGAGGAAAGTAGCTTTGACTGCACAGTAATGTGTAGTATAAGTAGTAAAATGTTAACAAAGTAGTATTTAGACCTCCATACAAATACTTATTCACTATAATGATACCGATTTCAAACAAAGCAAAAGGAGAAAAGGTTATTCATCCATATGGCAAATGAGTGTATTTTAAACTGTAAGCAGATACCAAAAATAAAAACTTTTTGAGAAATCAAAATCAAAGCATAATTAAAATGTTGGCATAATGGGCCTTTAAAGCAAATAACTTCACGTTGGGTCACTTACAGTATGAAATACAAGCATTAATTCATCGTTGTGCATGGCTTTATAGATAGGATGGCATCTATACCATTAAAAACATTGATATTATGATAGTTTGAAATGTGTTTCTTCATTCATTGAGTGCTAATAATAAAACAAAACATCTTTTTTTCCTTTATTTATACTTTGTACTAATTATTTTAAATTATTAATCTAAAAATGTGATCCCTCGGATTAAAGTTAATATTTTTGTTACTGACCGTTTAACTCGATAATATACATACATAATATAGATAACAAGTGATGTGTACATACGATGAAATTTCCCAAAATAAAAACAGATTCTATGCAAAAATACGTCTTTGATAAAAATACATCAGTACGAATTTCTAAATTTTCCTTAAAAAACGCAAATATTTAATTAACAGTTTTCTTAATTTTTCATTAAAAACGCAAATATTAAATAAACATTTTCTTAATTTTCCTGTAAAAACTCAAATATTAAATTAACATTTTCCTTAATTTTCCATTGGAAAAATCAAATTAACATTTTCGTCTACATTTCAGTAAAATAAAATTATTTTATCAACTAACATATGTTCCGTGGGACTTCCGTATAATTATATCAGTTAATTAAACGATCTCGGTTCATTTACATTTGAAATACAATAATTGCAAACTGAAAAAAAAATTAAACACTCAGAAGAAATCATAGGAGTTTGTTATTAACATACTTTCTAATACATCACTCAGTCACTGGGCGGGAAAATTACATTTT